ATATATATATATATATATATATATATATATATAAATATATAGATATAGATATATATAGACCAGATTTGACACAGACCTGCAGTTGGTGGTGCCACCAGAGTGGCCAGCGATGAGCGAGGTGGTCTTGCGCATGCCTCTGGCAGGGGGAGCCACGCCTTCTTCTGCGTGGGTGCGTGGCACTGAGCTGGCCCGGGTGGAGACGAGGAGACGTTCCGGGTGGTCCCCGCTTCGGCTGCGACGAAATTGGCTGCGGCTGGGGTCACTGAAGCTCCGCCCCTTCAGTCGGCTCATCAAGCTCTGAGAAACCACCTCGTCGAAACGCTCCCGGTGCTTCTTGGGAATGAAGATCCTGGCAAACAAATCCAAGATCAAGCAGTTTCTACATCGTAATCTTTAACAGGCCAAAGCTGCCAACGAACAAAAAGATTCCTGTTCTGATCCAGTTTAGTTTTAGATCAACCTAACTGGTTCATAAACAGTTCAGTCCATGTCCTCTCAGAAGATGATGTAGAGGAGACGAGTCCAACGTTTGAGCCTGTTGTGGTGAGAGTGTTTGTGGGTGACAACAGATGAGCTTTGTTGTGTGATAGTAGCAGCTGGAGGGAAGTGTGTTCAGGATCAGGGACAGCTTGCAGCTAACAAACATCTCTGGGAGAAAGCACTCCACTCCCCCTGCTTGTGCTACTTTCTCCTCCCAACATTAACTCCCAGTGTTTTGTTCCTCCTGAAGAAAAGCCTATGAGATGCACTGAACGTGCACCAGTTTGCTATATTTGGTGGGCTGTGTTCAGGAACATGTGGAGGCCAGTTCATATAAATAGAAACTAGAAAAAAAAGTGTTAGTTGAAACACATTTGTCAAATGTTGCATCAAATCCATTTAATTAACCTCTTGGAGCTTTGGTGTAAAAATAGTCATGTTGCCTTCAATGACACTTTATTCCCTGCATGACAAACACCAGCAGACAAATGAAACGGAGAAAAAGTTTTATTCTGTGGGACTAAAGCTCAGCCCCGACATCTGCCAGGGAAAGCTTGACATGTCTGCTCTCATTATCCATGTTCAGAGCTGAGCTGTCTGCTGCACATTGTTTCAGTTCTGGCAACTATCTGCAACAGCAAAAAAAATCAATATACAACAAAAACACAGAAATGACCCAGAAAAAGACGGTGGATTTAAATAAATGCTTTTGAAAATCCTTTTCAGGGACACAGGCGTCTAACTTTACATCCTAAAACTGTGCTGTTTCAATTCTCAACTGATCTGCCTGCCGTCTATCTACTGTATCCCTTCTCGTCTCTTGGGTGCTTTCACTGCGCAGAGGAGAAAAAAACTATTTTGGCTTTCCAGAATGTGCCAGTTACACTGTAGTGTGCCTCCATATACACAGCACAAAGCACTGGTTGGTTCTCAGCAGTCTTTGTGGAATGGAAAACTGAGGGAACAAACCGTTTCCCCCTCTAGAGATGGCTAAACTAAACCAAAGTGATCAGCAGTTTGTGCACCTAAACACAATAAAGAGCAGGTAACTAAAGCTCATCTCACACTGACCAAATAAACCCTAGGTTGCATTCAAATTAGACTAATAGTTAAAGAAACACCATCCTCCAATCTCTTGGAGTAGTCACTTCTAAAGTCGGTGTTTGAACCTCACTGTGGGTGATGAAACATCAGGCAGATGATGATCAAGACGATCATCAGAAATAAAAATTTAATTCAGAAATGATCACAAACAGCATATTATCACAAAAAACAAATACAAGGAATAAATACAGCTTTCATAAACCTATCATAAATAGTCTTATAGCTCTTGAAGCTGTTCGTGTTGTCATTACGGTCCTGTTTAAATGATTCATCAGATGTGTTTGTGGAGTACGACCTGCGCTGAAAGTCCCTGCCCCTGGTACTTTGTAGGTATGAAGCTCAATAAAACAAAGTTTAATTTTATTTCTCAAATAAATTATATTATAAATATTTTAAATTGAGGTTCAGTAGAAAGTTTATGCATAATAAATAGCTTACCTGCTGTAGATTGCTTTTTTAAACCATCTCACTTTGGGAAAAATTGTTAAATTTTCCTCTGCCTGATGAGCTAAAGGCTAGTCAGAGCAAGGCCAATACCAACTCCAACAATCATGTGTTAAACCTTCACATGTCTCTTTTTGCTTCACATGGCAGAAATATTTTGATATATCTTCTTGAAGTTCCTCAAGCTGCAGAAAAAGTGCCATGGCTAGCTGCTGCCGCTTCAGTTTTCTCTCAACTTTCTTTGTAAATAAGCATATAATGCAAAATTGATGGTGAATTTAAATTTGTATAATAGTGCTCGTATATCTTTGGAATACTTCAGACTGGAGTGCTTTGTGTTTCAGACAGAAATACACTGTGGTCTCTGCCATGCTCAGACTAGCCATTAGCTCATCACACGGGTCAGAATTAAACTATATTTCTTGAAACTGAGGTCATTTAAAGAACTAACAGGTAAAATACTACATGTTCATATCCAAGAAAGTTCAATCTGGTCCTCTGGACATTCAAAAAAACAAAAAACAAAACAAAGCAAAAAAAATGTAGAAACGTTTCGTCTCTCATCCGAGAGACTTCCTCAGTCTGAGCTGCTGTTTTCAGCTCAGTCTCTTAAATAGCACCTTCTCAGAGTGGATCAACCAGTTTTGCTGCTGACAACCAAAACCAGCTGATCACATGCTCAAGAAGGACCATCAGCCTAACAAAGGATCATTAGCACACTGATGGCTGTTTACTATTCAAAGGGGGTTGAGTGATACTAGCAATCACAGCATTGTAAGAGGGGGACAGTTGAACCCGGAGGCCTCCACCCCTGTTTAATGATGGACGGTTTCTTTTCACAAAGATGGCCTCCTTTACTCCTCTCTCAAACCATCGTTCCTCTCTGTCCAGGATGTGAACATCTTCATCCCTGAAAGAGTGACCGCTGGCCTGGAGATGAGTGTAGACCGCAGAGTCCTGGCCTGATGATGTTGATCTTCTGTGCTGGGCCATCCTTTTGGCCAGTGGCTGTTTAGTTTCCCCAATGTAAGACTGATCACAACGTTTCTACATTTTTTTTGCTTTGTTTTGTTTTTTTGAATGTCCAGAGGACCAGATTGAACTTTCTTGGATTTTTCTACCTGGATTATTGAGCATGCATCAGGATATATGTTCATATACTTTCCACAGAACCCAAATTCAGAAGATGGGATTTATTACTTTCATGCTTAAGTACAATTTTAGTGTAAAGTTTTATCTTTGTTGTGGAACTATTTTGCTAGAGTAATTCAGCAGCAACCCTAGTTTGTACCCAAAACTCAAGTAACTCAGTCACCTACAGCAGTAAAGGTGTTGTACTATTGTGTTGGTCAAACAATGTATAAATACTAGTGTGTGTGAGAGACAATACTGATTATGTCCTACACGGCACCTCATATATAAATGCTAGGGCTGAACAATTAATTGCATTTGCAATAATATCGCAATATGATAAAATGAGATTTTCTAAACGCAAAGGCTGACTGTTCACGTGATCTGGTTATGTGACTTGCGAGTGAGCGGAGCAGGGAGTGGGAGGAGTCAACACCGCGCTTTAACTGGTTGTACAATGGCGTCAGTCTCGACAGAAATTGATACATCTGAAAGTCTGGTACCAAAGAGGCAGCATGTCCGTTGTTTGGAATTATTTTGGCTATAAAAAAGAAGACGCTGCACAACGACATGTATTGTGCAGAACCTGCCTTGCTGCTGTTGCTACCTCTCGAGGAAACACCACAAATCTTTATCAACACTTAAAAAACACCACAAAGCCATTTTCGATAGTTGCATGGCTAGAATGCCAATGACCAGTGCTTCAACTTAAAGTAAGCAAAGTACCAGCCAACAGGGATCACTGACAGAATTGTTCGAGGTATTACTTCGTATGAACATAATTCAAAACGGCACATGGAAATAACTTGAGCAATAATGGAGTTCATAGCAAAATGCATGACGCCCATTAATGTAGTGACCAAGCCTGGGTTTACGGCTTTGGTGAACACAGTGGATTAGCGGTATAGAATGCCCTTGTTCACACATTTTAGCCAAGTTGCTATCCCGGAGCTTTAAAAAAATGCAGAAACAGAGCTGCCGTGGAGCTGAAAACAGTGGAGTTTTTTTGCAACTGAAACAGATTTATTGCTTGTGTTGGTTGAAAAATACATGAGAAGAAGATATTGAAAAATAATTGCATATTAAATCGCAATATTGATGTAAAAAATTACAATCAGAATATTTTCTAAAATCGTTCAGCCCTAATAAAAACCAGCCACTAAGGAGCACAAGCCAGTGTATCTCTTGTGCCGGTCTCAAGCCCGGGTAAATGGTGAGGGTTGTGTCAGGAAGGGCATCCGATGTAAAATAATTTTGCCAAAACAATAATGCGAGTTCATCAAAGCGAAACCATACAGGATCGGTTGAGGCTTGGGTTAACAACGACCACCACCGGTGCTGTTGACAAACAAGGTGCCGGCGGAAATTGTGCTACTGTTAGTCAAAGACCACGAGGAGGGAAACGTGTCAGGAGACAGAGGGAGAAGAGGAAAGTGAAGAATGTAAGACTGAGGGTTTCAACTCTAAATGTGGGGACAATGACAGGCAAAGGTAGAGAGCTGGCTGACATGATGCAGAGAAGGAAGGTAGATGTTTTATGTGTCCAAGAGACCAAGTGGAAGGGCAGCAAGGCTTGCAGCATTGGAGCAGGGTTCAAACTGTTTTACCATGGTGTGGATAGAAAGAGAAATGGAGTAGGGGTGGGTGGTCCTGAAGGAGGAGTTGGCAAAGAATGTAGTAGAGGTGAAGAGTGTCAGATAGGGTGATGTGCCTGAAGGTAGAAGTAGAAGGTCTGATGCTAAACATCATCAGTGGTTATGCTCCACAGGTTGGATGTGATGAGGAGGAGAAAGATACATTTTGGAAAGATCTGGATCAAGTGATAGAGTATTCCCAGGGAGGAGAGAGTGGTGATCGGAGCAGACCTGAATGGACATGTTGGTGAAAGAAACAGAGGATGAGGAAGTGATGGGTAGGTTTGGTGTCAAAGAAAGAAACCAGGAAGGACAGATGGTGGTGGATTTTGCCAAGAGAATGGAAATGGCTATAGTCAATACCTATTTCCAAAAGAGGGAGGAACATAGAGTGACCTATAAAAGTGGAGGAAGGAGTACGCATGTCGACTACAATCTGTGTAGAAGAGGAAACCTAAGGGAGATTGGAGACTGTAAGGTTGTGGCAGGGGACAGCGTGGCCAGACAGCATTGGATGGTTGTGTGTAGAATGACTGTTGTGAAGAAGAGAAAAAGA